GTAACCGTGGAATGTAAAAGTCTGTGATCTGTCTCTTTAAAAATAGTGTTTTCGCCTATGACAAAAACACGTCTTATAAAACTTGTTTGTGGTCCATCAGAGCATAATCGATCGATTCTTCTCCATTTCCACTGTCGTATTGGTGCTTTGTGGAAAATGACGTTCATGACGTTGAGGTGGTCACCGAAAGTTGCGAAACAATCTGCAGGTTCATTTCATTCACCTTTTCACCATTTGACGATAAATACCTTCGTGCGATTCGCTCTTTTCCCGACCAAAATGTTGAAATCTAATCGGAGAATCGTTTACCTGGTCTTCTTCTCTACTGCGCCTCCCAGTTCTTCTCAAAATTGCTTGATCTCTTTTAGCTTGCTGGTTTGGGTTGTAGGTTCGTATTTTAATTCACTTTCTGTCCATCCATAGAGGTAGAACTGCAATGCGAGGTGATCCAACATCACAGCTCAATAAAATGCACAGACTTTTTTTATTGTGAACCCAACGCTGTCGGTCTGAGCTTGGTTCTCGAATGTTTTCCTGAGGATCACATGGTTACCGTTGTCCAGTTTCGCCACCAATTCGGCAGATCTTCGGGTCTCGCATGTTCTAACGATGTCCGCCTTGATCTTCTACATTTCCGCGATATATACGTCGATAAATGCGTCTGTCGATAGCGTTCTTGCATCCTGGCTGGCCATAAAGATCTTGATGACGTTCTTGCAGCGTTTGCCATTCGCAGCCTGTAGTTTACGAGTGATAGGTGTTGGTCAGGCTGACTTGGTAGCCTGCACCCATTTTTCCAGTTTCCGTTTACTTTTGAGCTGTTTTTGGCAAATTATTGTTTTACAGTTCATTGCAGGTGCTAACCCTCGTGGATTATTGCAAAGCCTACCTCAACCATTATCCAGTCAAACGAATTCAGAAAAGTGGAGCACTTAATGAGGTCGTGAGCGGAAAGATTTCATTGACGAGTGGCGAGAGCATCACCGCCTCAACCTACTGAAGCGGGCTTCTGCGCCATTTCCGGGCCCTCACGCAGCACGAGATATGCGATCTTCACAAAGTTTTATAACAAACTGTACTCCTCCAAAGTAGGCGTGGATCGGTAGCTGCCACACGTAACCCAGAAGTCACAAGCGTCGATGTTCAGTGGGAAATCTTAGATATTAAAGATGGCAAATGTCCAAGCAATGACAGTATTTGCACCACATGTTAAAGCTGGAGGAAAATCTTGTCTAAAGCGCTTGCGAAACGTTTCAAAGAATAAACCAGGCAAAGCAAGACGCCTAAAGTGTGAAAAATATCATAAACAATGCCCCTCATGAAGAAAAGCCACTGAAGACCTCAAGAAGTATCGACCAGTTACACTCCTGTCAGTCTACAGGCTTCTCTCGCGCAACTCCGAACCGTATTTG